GTGGGGGTCTAAGTTGTCGGGCTGGTGCCTTCACAAATTAGCCATCAGTCTTGGCTTTGTTCGACAATACACTTTGACCTCCATCTTGCCCCTTTGAATCAAGGATCAATCTTCCGTAGCCCGCATCGCCGGGAGGTATCAAGAGAAGGGTACCACTTCTCTGCTTCCGTTCGTCTCAAGTTTGTCGCTGTGCAAGTGAAGCAATCTGCGCCACTGGGAATTGCTTCCACACATTTTCGGCGTATTTCTTTTGCTGGTGTCATCAGCTGGCCCCCAGAGCTGAGGAACGTGGAGTATCGACAACCACTTGCTCCGGAATGTTCATTCGTGGTCATGAAAACGGGCAGTTGATGTTCATCGCATGACAGGGGTGACTTCTTGAGGAAGCGCCCGATCCGATGTGCGCACAAGATAAGATGTGCGGACATATGGTACGTAGTTGATTTTCGAGTCGCCTCGCTAGCACAGCGCCGATTGAAGGGCGAGTTGCCTACCTTGCCATGCTGCAACATGGCTAAAACCACCTTGCTACACTGGCTTCAGCTCTTATTTCGAGATGCGTTTGCATTGCCAAGGTGAGGTGGTTGTCTACGACAAGGAGGGCAGCCCAGGGCACTTTGACAGCCGACAGCCCCTAACACAGTATTGAACAGTTTCCACCGGCCAATTCGACCCACTGATTTAAGTGGTTCGTTCATCCATCATTTCAGGATTAAGTAGAAGGTTTTGACGCTGGTATTCGCTCCAAACGCGTGACTTGGAGACGGCTTTCCGCCAGGACCAGTGCTATCCGGAATTTCTTCTCCTGTATCGCCGCGATTTCAGCTGAGAGTGAAGGCTGGGGGGGGGGCGGCTGGACTGCTGGTAGGGTGTGTCAAGGGGGTAAGTTATATGTTCAATTTCTCTTCTTTTCTTGTTTTTGCGCACAAGGACGAAGCTGGAAGCTGTGCCGTTGGGGAGGTTTCCAGTGAAAATCAGCTCTTCAGTCTGGCAAGCAACTGAGTAGCTGCTGTGTGCCTGCAGCTCTGACAGGAGAATGCTGGTTGTGGCTTACTTGACCGAACAACAACTGTGACTGCCCAATGATACCACAGCAGGGGCCGTTGCAGAATGGAACTAAAGGGGTCCTGACCAGGACAGTTGAGTTGCAGTGCTTTACGCTTCCTAAAGTTAGTCCCACCATTGTGGCAAACCATATGTTTATTTACACATGTTACTGATGTTCGGTCGTTTTGGGGGACAGAAGCTCCCTCCAAAACAGATGCGTAAGCACGCCTGCCCCGCATACCCTCTGCAAGGTTTGGCTTGGCTTCGTGCCCTGCAGGTGACTGGCACTGGAGGTGCCGGTTGTGGATGCAGGAGGTTTTCCTTTCTTCAATGCCTTTTCTACTGCTGTTGTACAGATTCCAGCGAGCACTGGCATGCAACTACGGACGCGAGCCAGCGCAACCTATTACAAAATGGCACGCCATGGCACGCGTAGCATTGTTTGCACGGCATGTTCCACTTCCCAATTCATGCCGGATTTGAAGTCTGCCATATTTTCTGCATTTTACTGGCCGAGTCTTGCTTAATGGAGTCTGTTCAAGATTTAGGCCTTTCAAAGGCTTCACCAACAGGCCCAGGGCCAACCCCCCCCAAAACAAACTGAAGTGAGGAGTAAATCAGGGGACATGGGGTCAACAAGCCCCAATTATCACTGACATGCGATATTTCGGTTTTGGGGTCTGGCTTAGGGTCTGCGGGGGAAGTCTTTGAACATTGTGACCAAAGCTGACTCAAATCTTGGCCTTGTCAGAACTGTAGCTTAGCGCGTGCGACCGCCGGGTCAGATCGTTGATGCATTTTGATGCGACACGTGATTCTGAAAGCTTTGTGTAAAGCCCCAGTTGGGGACCACTCCCTGAACGGTTTGCATGCTCAGAAGAATTAAATTAGGCTGAGCAACCCACACAAACATTGAAGCTGCAGCACTTGATGTCATTGCTTAGAGATTGTTTGGAACACCGGCTTAGTGATTGCCATGCCTCCCCAAAGAAAAGCTGCTTTCTTCCAGATGTTCCAAAGTTTTCCCGCTATGCTGTGGTGCGTTTGAGAAAGCACTCAATTATGTACGTCAAAGGGGAATTTACTGTATGACGGCTGGTCAATCAGCTTTTGAAGTCCCTGGTGGTCGCGCGCCAACAGATGAGTTGCACTCCATCCTTGCAGAGCAAATATGCGGCTGTCGCAAACTTCGCCAGGATGCTCTAGTCAGCGAGCACGTTTTCCAAGCCTTTCTGCATTCACGGACTGTTGTACGACAGCCGCCAAAGTCAGTTGCAGTGGCAGCAAGTCCAGAAGCAAAGTTGAGGGCAATGTATTCCTTCTTGGCCACGAACGTTTACTTTGAATCACCAGCCCACGGCCTCTTTGTGCCTGGTGCTTCTGCCAGCTGCAACCCAGGGTTGCTTCCCCCTTGTAGGGAGGTCCAACGCCCTGCTTCTAGTACCCCACATGCATTCTTGGAGCTTCCGGAAGCATGGAGTGAAGCGACGGGAAGTAGCAGGCAATCGGACTGGTGTTGATTGTTTTGAAGGATGCATGTTGTGTGTTGTCGGCATGGCATGGAGTTCCGAGCAATTCGGCTGGAGCTGGCGGCTCCACGAGGGCTTGGCTTCAAAATTCGACACGCAGAGCTGCCATCAGAGCATGAGCTTGGCTCTGCCGGCGGCAAAACCTGCTGGCCCCAAGTGCTGAAATGCCGTCGAGTACACCCGTTACGCGTTGAGCGCACACGCCGCACGCGCCGGCTTTCTTGTTTGCCTTTTTGTTGCCTGCCAGCCGACCCTGTCAGTGCGTCATTTGACTGTTTCATACTCAGCAGCTTATTTTGCTATTCTTCTCAGGCGGGTGCCCCACGCATGTCTGGGGCTTTGCCTCAGCGCTGAGGCGAAATGGGTGTCACAACTTTCAACAGCGGATGCAGTACAATCTCGATTTCTCCGGCCGAAGCATTGAATGCTGTTGGCCTGGATCCCGGCCTGCATAGCATTGATATGAGCCAAGTAGGTAAACCACTCATGGTTGCTGTAAACGGACAGCTCTCCGCATGGCTTCTCGCAGATAGGACTGGACTGGTGGTTAGGAGATGCAATTCAGTCTGTTACAATTCGCGCAGACTATGGGGTGAATTGGACTTCATTCGTGGAGACTTGAAGCCATGCCCCAAACCATGTGCCAAGCATGTGCCAAGCTCGAGAATCACCAGCAACTCTGTCAAATGGCCGGCCTTTTTGGGTTTCGTTCAAACACGCCCAGAGGTTCGATGCATTCGCAGCCACACAAGGGTTTAAATTAGCTTAAGTTCGAGAGAATGCGCGCGGGAAGTAAAGGATTTGTTGGACACACAAGGGATGCGATGCGCAGGTGAGGACTCTCAATGACTTGCAGGGGCCCGCTGCATGCTGTTCCTCCCACTGGCGCATTTTTTCGGCTTTTGCTGTTATGCTTCCCAGTGCCGCGGCCTGCGCCCGGAACGGCCGTGTTCAGCAGAGTGCCTGTGGGAGGGCAGTCCGCTTGAAAAGGAGCTCGTAGCAAGGCGCTGCGAAAGTTCTTGCGAGGGGTTGGTCAATGCGATTCCCCTGTGCAACGCATGTGTAACGCATGTGCAGGGCATGTGCGACGCCTGCGTTGTCAGAGGCAAACAATTGGCGCAACGGAGCCCATAGGATCAGAGGTGCGATGGGCTGATGCTTTCTGCATACAAAAGACAAGAACATCGGGTTTTCACAGGTAAAAGGAGTGTCGCGTGCGCTTGGGCTGACTTGCCTGGCTGGACACACCCCTCTGATGGCCTGTTTTGCTTTGCTTTCAGAAGGACAACAAGGCGCCGGGGATATTTGGGGTAAGGGGTGGTGGACAGGGTCATGTTCGGAGAATGGCATCATCCCGGATCCAAAAGCAGCATTCTTTTCTATCAGCTACCACTTGTTTGGCTCAAACAGTTGTTACATAGATGCCAGGCAGACTAGACTCAGCACAAGGAGCACACACAAGCATGCGATGTTCACCTACAGAGTGCAATCAGAATGCAAATCAGTGAAGATGCTTATTCCGAGATGCACGGATAGTTTCACTTGTGCCGCACGTCTCTTCAAATCCACTTCGAGGTGTTCCACTTGCGCCCCTGCTGTCTCTGTTTCTTGGTCAAACCGCGGGCGTGCTATGAGGATTGCCAGGCCGACGGATTCCGTTGACGTTGGGCGGAAGTCTTGCCTTCTTGATTTGTGAGGGATTTGTTCGCAACCATAGTCCACCGGCAAAGTGACCTTCCGTGGGGAAGGGGGAGTGCTACAGCCCCTGAAGCAGCAGCAAGCAAAGTCTGAAGCAAAAGGACCTTTTGGAGCCAAGGCTCCCTGCAGAAGAGGAGCATTGTCTCCTCTCGTCTGACAAATGAGTGAAGGGATTCCTCGTGTTGTATGCTTGTATATATATATATATGCATAGTACTCATGCATTGTGCTCTCAGCTTTGTGCATGAGGCTTTTGTGGATGGAGATGATGGAGTATACCTTGCACAGTGGTATCCGCTTGGGCCTGTTGCGGCATCAGACGCAGAAGGCAAACGCGACTGTTCTCTCCCCTTGTACAGTACTCCCCTGACCCCTGCAGCCTTCCATCCGTATTTTGAGCACCCTCCCAGAGGTCCACCCACCCGAGTGATGTCTTTTTCGCCATCTCAAGTGATGGCAGACCTGGCTGTGCTGCCGCAAGTGGCCTACAAACCCCGCTACCTGTTTGGTCGCATGTAACATGTACTGGGTAAGAAGGGCGGATGCAGTCTGCGTGATGCCTCTCACCGGATCATTGTGGAAAACCAAATGTTCCAAGTTGAAAAAACCTCTTTTCGGACTGCAAGGGATTGACATCATGCAAGGCAATGTCATTATCTCCATGAACAGCAGGGCATTCCGGTTGGAGGATGTTTTCATTTGGTTCAAAGCTGCAAGTGTTTTCCCTCTTTCTGATTCCCCCTTGATTTCTGAAGGCAAGACTGAAGATTGACAAATCTTAGCCCCCCTACTCTCAAGTTTCGCTGGATTAACAAGGCGTGATGTCAATGGCATTGCAGCCAAGTTTTCCAGACACTGACTCAAGCAGACAAAAACCTCTTGCAATTGCTTCCGACTTGATTGTGCAGTTGCGGATTGGTTTTCGTACTTGACTGGAATGCGCTGAGCCGGCAGGCCGCCGGACAAGGCGCAGGAGCGCTTCGGGGCGGTCGCAGTGCTGCCCAAGGCGAAGGTTCCGTTGAGGCGTACCGGATGGGCTCAGTCCGTTGAGGCATGCTCCATGTTTCTCCAGACTCCTATGGCCTTTACGGGTTACGGGAGTTGAGCTCCGGATTCATCAAGGCAATCCCCTTGCCACCAATACAGGGGATGCCCTAGAAAGGCCTAGTAAGCAATCAGCAGCCCGCTGCGTGTGAAACAAGCTCAGCATCATGATCCTCGTTGAACGCCCGTGTTAAATCAAGATGACCGTACTTGTCAGCGGGTTCTCTTTGTATCACCCCCGCCCCCCAACAAGTGAGCCTTCCTGATGAAGTTGGCAGGGTTTATTCAGGTGCGGAAATCAAAATGATATAGCTGACAAGCGGAATCTTGTATCACATTGCATTTTCTACTGGCGCCAAACTCAAGCCGGAAAAAGAAAGCAGATGGCATAGAATCATAGAATCCCGGGGGTCAGAAGTGGTCAGAAGTGGGTGAACCACTTCAAAGCATCAAACCTAGAAATTTCCACAGTTTACGGTAAACAGTTTACGGATTTGGCGATTTAAGATTGCGATTGAAGCCTGGTGGGGTTTCTGCCAATTGCTTCGCTTCCGTGCATGCATTTTTCACTGGTCTCGTGCGGCTTCCAAAGGTCACATGTTACAGCTTTGCAAGACGTCCTGGTACATGCGGTCTGTGAGGATCTGAGTTGCAGTTGGCAACCACAAGTTCTTTGGGTTCTAACAACTGAACCTTTAATTAGGAGCCACTCCCGACGAACATGCTTTAACCCACTTTACAGCTCTCTTTCCAGGATGCAAACATTGAATTTTAGAGTTGCGATACAATCGAACCTGTGACTTGCGGGCGGGCGGGCGGGCATGTGTGTATATATATATATATACACATGTTTTTTTGTGTGCGTGTGTGTGCGCGGTGTTGCGCACAGGTATAGAGGTATTTCTACCACTACGATCTGTGCTTGTGCGGGAATCATGCTGCTGGTGTGGTGGCAGGGGCCACTATGGCAGGCTATTTTCTTAGATCCCTCCATTTTGCTGCCAAACCGTTGCAAATCCAACTCATGGCACATGTTGCCAGGCCGCGCGTGGTTGACAGCAACGACTCCGGGACAATTTGGCAGGCAAGCCAAAGACTCCGCACGACTTCGAACAGTCATGTGCTGCACTGGATATAATGCTAACAGGCTTTATGAGGGTAATTGCAGGTTGTTTTGCTATTGGGGCATCCTTTTTGAGTCGGGCCTGGTGTTTGCTTTTGTAGTCCTTCCTTCCAATGTCAGTTGATGGAGCTCAGGTTCCTGTAAGCCTCTAAGGCCGCAGTAAGCTAAGGCACCTGGGACAGGTTGGAAAGGGGCACTTGCTGTTTCAACCAGAGCATGCCTTTGCCTGATGGTTCTTTGCGGGGAACGTGGAAACGCCCCAGCGACTGGCAAAACATGTTCGCCAGGTGCCTAGGCACATTTCCCTTCGACTACCTCAACTACTCTTGCTCTCTCAATGCCAAACAGGCAGCAAGGAGAATAACTCCTCTTAGCATGCTCATTGGAAATCCAGGCTATTTGGAGCATGCTGAACACTAAACAAGAAGTTCAAGGGCTCAGAACCCAAAACCCATATTGGGCTATTTAAGTTGGGTTTCATTTCCGGATGTGCGGCATAAGGGTTACTACCAGAGTCTACATGCACCTTACAGCTCGGTGGGATTTCCCAAGACGCTTGGGGTCGCGAGCGAAGTTCAGGTGGTCTTCCGACAGGTAGATCCCATCGATCCGCAGCGCGGGTGCGCGCCTCAAGACTTAAAGCGGACGACTCCAAGTACTCGGAATCGAAGTTTCGATTCTCAATAGATCCAATGCTGAAATCACGTGAAGGTTCAATCAGGTGAAAGGAGCAGGGCGGCCCATCACGAGCCAAAAGAAGATAATTTCCAGACGTTGAGCCGGTTCAAAGAGGAGCCTGTTGAAGGAGTTGAAGGAAACGGACTACTGACGGGACTCCAAACTTATTCTGCAAGGCATACTCAGGGCCACTGGAGTTCAAAACCAGTGTCGAGCTTGCATGGAAGAAAGCCAAGACCCGAGGTCTGACGCAAGAGTAAAGCGGAGTAAGTACGTGTCTGTGTGTGTGTGTGTGTGCGCGTGTGCGTGTATGTGTGTTTGTGTGTGTGTGTGCGGTTGACACAGTTGTTCTGGGGTGATCAATTATTTGCCGGGTGAGCCAAAGCAATCACACACTCATCCACGATGAAGGTGCCGTTCCTGGGTTCTCCGATATCCACCAGAGGTTCCACAAAGCTTCATGTTTGCCACACCGAAAGATTGGGGAAGCAAGCTACAACAACTCTGAAATTTGCTGGATACATAAATCTGGGTGAATTATATCGACCTCAAACGACCTCACCCCAAATGGTGGTTTATGTGGGGAATAGCCCCCCAAACACATTATTTCAGATTGGTGAACTATTATAATTCACCTAGATAAATACCAGTGATGTGCTGTTGAAAATGTCTGATTTGTTGATCTTGATTGTCTCACTTGGTTAACTTTTATATTGGGGGACACACAACCGTATTTCTGACATTTCAGACCGAGCATGCAATCAATCAAACAGGTTGTTTTTGCTTTGTTGTTGAGTTTTGTTGTTGTTGACTTCCAGTCTGAGGAACATAAGAGAACAACGATGGGAGACACGCATTTAAGTAGCAAATACTTGCTAGCATTGATGACTATTGTGATGCATATCTATACTATGAACTTGGTCTATTGGTGTTGTGGTGTAAAATGATTCATTCCACCGCCATTGCTACCCTTTGACATGATTATTGAAATTTGGATTAAAGGGACACTGATTGAAATGGCTAACTAATGAAGTTCAGACTGCCGTTAATAAGCGGGACAGTGCATGCAGAGCACAGAGCCTCGGAAACTGAGATCTGCTCTAGCGCAATGGCTGCAAGCTGTAAGGGACAGGCAAAAGTCATCAGCGGAACGCTTAGCGGCTTGTTGAATCCTAGCAAGCAGTTTGCCATTTATGGCGTCGCTCACTCAGCCGCTGGGACCATTTGACCAGAATTTTGCACAGAGGAACGCTCAACGTGTTTCATCAGGTTCTGAAGTTGCGGGTCCTCGAAGGCTGCTCCCTTCAATGTGGCCACTTCGCGCTGAACATTGGCTCCAAAGATCCCTTCTGTACGCCTACCCCCAGTCGCTGATCCATGCAGCTCCAAAGCTCGGACTCGGCTTACCTCTGGGGTTTGGAGCTTGAGGCCGTGGCTGCCGGTCTGCGAGGAAATCGTCCGCAAGGTGTGCCGAGATGGCGAGGGTCCGCAAAGGGTGCCTAAATCATTTGCAAAACCATTTGCTTTCTATTTTCCAAAGTTCAAGACATTCGGTAAGACATAGTAATCTTTTGGTGAATCAGCCAAGAAGGTGGGACGGGGGGGTTCAGGCAACAGGACTTTGTGATCTAGGCTGAGCGCTGTGATTTGGTGCCGCTTTCAGGAAACTTGAGCGGAATTCATATAAACAGGCTTGGCGGAGACAACTGAATCAACTTCCATTGCTCTTGGCCCAACCTTTCAAGACAGTCCCCAAGGATAGCTACTTGGAACCGCCCCCGCTTTGGGGAGCGCGCTTCGAGGGATGCTTGAGGTTCGATCCCACTATCGTCCATTTCCCGGGCTGGTTGTGAGGGGCATGTTTTCTCTGACAGAGCTGCTAGAGGGGCTATCGTCCATTTCACAGGGCTGTAAGCCTTTGTGTATGAGATAGGTATCAAACAACTTGTTGAGCATCAAACAAAATATTAAGCATCAAACAAAACTCATTAGGCATCAAGAAGAAACTTATTGCCATTCCCAAGGCAACTGCGAAGAAGGAAGAAATGAAGAGCCTGACGCAGTTGTTTATCCTACTGCACTGGCGGGGGGCTGGGGCCCGGGGGCTGCGCCAAATGACTTTTGTCTAAAGTCTAAGAGTCAAGAGAAACTTATTAGGCATCAAACAATAGCTTGTTGGGCACCTGTAAACAACCTGGAAACTGCAGCGACAAGCAAATACTTGTTAGGCTTCAAACACAAGATTTGTCGGGCATGGCTGGGGCTGCTTTGCTTAGAGTTTGTTGGGGCTGGTTTGTCTGCGGGGTTGTTTGGCTTAGGGCCCGACAAGTTTGTGTTTGATGCCTAATAAGTTTTAACTGCATCAAAATGGTGCCCAGTAAGTCATTGTGTGGATACTCCTTTTTTGAAAGGGAAACACAGTAAAACAAGACATACATACACATGATAAATAAGTTGTCTTTTAAGGCTTCATGCGTTTCTTGTGATGCCTGCTTGTGTACAGCGCGAAGCCAGCTTTGCTCGTTTTGCGTCTCAGCCACGATTTCGCTGGAATGACATTGGTCCCGTCACCTGTGCTTTGATTCGGGAAGCATCAGACACGTATTCCCTGGTTGGCGCAACTGTTCTCAGACACGGCTTGTATGTCTTTCTGCTCAATTGGGCTAATTTCCAGCGATCAGTTGCAGCAGCACCCGTGCCCTCGACCTACAATTGGTTTTGGGGGGTCCAATCGGTTTTGACAGCTTCTGCGCTTTGCTGTTTGAGCTGTGCCGACCTTCAGGAAGCGGGGGAGGGGCAGCTAACCAGGGCGGCTGGAGCCCGGCGGCCTGTCACCCCCACCACCCAGATTTCGCAGAATCGTTCACGGTATGTGAAACTCACAAGTCACGATGGAGATCAATGAAATATGTTCGCAGCCATTGCGACTCCTGTTCTTGGTGGCGTCTAAGGCTGCTGTTCCTCAAGGCCTCGGGCTGTGGACGCCCCGAGGTGAGGAATGGGAGTGGGCAGCTCTCAAAAGGGCGAACGCCCAGTTTTTCTTTTTACTAGCACTTGAGAGATGCCTCCCGACAAATTGACAGGAGGAAATCGTGGCTGACTGCAAGCATTGTGATGAGACATGCCCTAAGGAAGATGATGCTACTTGCCTTCTGTGGAAGCATTGGTTGAACCCGGTGACTTGGCTCAAGAAGTGAAAAGGCACTTGAAGCCATCAACGGGGTCTGCAGAGTCTCTCAGCCAACTCGGATGCGTGGAAGGCAACCATAAGAATCTTCAGGTCCTAAAGGGTGGCTATGATCTTTGATGGAAACTCCCGCACGAATGGTTGGTGGACAGACATCCCCATGTAAATGATGTCCACCAAAGGGTCCCCCATCAATATTCGTATCAAACAATTTGCACAGGGATTGTTGAGGCGGGAGCGCTCCAGCGAGGAGAGGGCTGGCCCCAGCAGCTGAAAGCAAAGGGCAAGCGACCACAGTAGCCGGGGTTGAGAGGATTTGGAAGCAATAGCCGGGTGTTTGGTTGCCATCCTTTCCAGAGGTCCTTCTTTTCAGAGGCGCGCATGTTTGAGACAATCGCGTTTATTGTTAGGGGGAACGGATTATCACCGAGGGAAACATCTTTGGGCTTGCTCCACAACCCTGTGGAATGTCAGCCGTGCTAAAGCATAGTGAAAAAGCGGATGCCAATGAGCATTCAAGTGTTGTGAATCCATGCCTCGGCGAGCAGAGTTCAACTCGTGGACTCTTCAAATCTGTGAAGGACAAAAAAGAGTTAGAGGAAGGCACATAATTAGTGGTCATTTCAAATACACAGGCTCCAAGCTCACTTGAAGCTACATTTTGGGGAAAGGACCCATTTCGTGGGTCCGCTGAAAATGAGCCTGTCTGAATTCCTGGAGCCGCCGAAAACGCGCAGGGCTGCGGCGCTTGCCGCTGCCCTGGGAGCCCATGGAGTTCGATGAGATCGAGGCGCCCCGCGACAGCCTCGGTTGAGCTCAGAGGGCATCGGTCGAATTCCCAAGTGTCCGAAGACAACGAAATCTCGTGCACAAAGCTGTCTGCATTTCCGAAGTTCTTATTTTTGGATAAGACGTCGAGCTGGGCATGGCGATGGCAAATCGGAGGTTTGCAAGCGCGAGCCGGACACTCTTCCGTCCCTTCAAATGAGAAGGGTCTGCTTTCGGGCGTCTTGTGCGTTTGCCATGAAGGCATCCAGGCGAAGATTGCTCGAATTTGGAGACATGCCTACATTCTGCGGATTGAACACATGGTTGATTGCAGTCAGGGAGGGCTGTTGATCTTTCAACGGTTAGTTGTTGCAAGGATGATCGAGGGACCTGGCGCCTTTGCCCAACTGTGCATGTTGTTTCAGACTTCTTGGGCCGTGTTTCCCGAGGCATGCCCTCGGGTGTGCGGCGGACTAGGCGCATGAAGGGATGGAGTGAGCACAGAGCGATTTAGTGCGGAGCATGGCAAATGTCTGATATTTGATCGGATTTGTTTGGAACCTCCTCGCTTTTTCGCCAGGACGGTTTCCTCCACGCCACCCGCCTTCCGCCCCAAAAAGGGCCATGGCCTGTGGAAGAGGCAGGCCGTGGCCGGATCGAATCGCAGAAAGATGCGGGGACCCCCTTAAACACGTGTAGGTCACGCGTGTGTGTTATGCACATCATATCAGGAGGGGATGACAAGTCATTCTTTGCACTCCTATCGAGCTAGCACTCATGTACCGCACAATCTGGCTAGGATGGCTCACCTTGCTTCCTTGGTCACACAGAATGCCTTTCTCGGCAACCAATTTTTCCTGACTGGTGGCAAGCTGTGTAACTGGTGAACCATGAGTTTTTGGGTTTCCAATTGGAGGATTTTGACCAACCGCTCCCATCACACTGACCAACCAGCCTGAGGCCTGTTGGGTTGTTTCCTCTAAAAACACAGCTCAGCTAAACACAGCCCATACTGCACCCGATTTGTTGGTAGGAACGAAATCATGCAACAGGCAGTGCTTGGAGGAGAGCTCAAAGACAACGGAGTGGAGCAAGCAGGCAGCATCGAATGGGATCAACCTCATAAAGCTTTGCTCGGGTGTGACTTTCCTTGGGAATTGCCAAGCAAGCACCGACTGGATGAACCCCTGACTCCTTCCAGTGTCCGCGTTTCTGGGCAAAGACAATCGCAGCAGTTGGTTCCTGTCATCATGTTTGGGAACCTGTCATTCGAGAAACTTGCCATACTCGACCACCAATGCGGTGGCAGCAATGACATTGCTTCTTGCGGGTCCACCCTCATCCCAAGGGAGCAAAACCTCCAGCAAGTTTCTAGAACACTTTCAATAATTTCATCAACATTGCCAGGCTGGCAGAGCCGCGCTCTGCCAGGAGCCACAGGCACCCAGAGGCGGGAGCGGGGAAGGGTCTAATTACTTCAGGTCGTGGATTTGTCGACTTGGCGCTCTTGTCGCAGTTGCCCCTCTGCTTTTCCAATTCGAGTGCAGGGATGCACTGCTGCAGCGTTCAAGCTTAAGATTTGGAACAATAGCGATGAGTCAATGAGGATGACTTTTTGCATCCTGCAATGACGTCTCTGCAAAATGATCTCTGATAAGGTGGCTCAGGTTGCAGGCGGTGCTTGGCTTGGAAGTCCTCGACCCTCATAGGGGGCATCCGGAATCTTCTTTCTCAGGAAGCCCCTTCGGGCGTTAGCCCTGTTCCACTTGATTGTTTTTGGCTGCTGATGTCAATGCCTTGGTTCAAGACTTCTGGGGTGGATGTTGGCTTTTGGGGTGTGTGCTGTCGTTTGGAGCAATGCTGGGCTGTTGTTGGACTTCTCCCACGTCGGATTTTGTTTGAGTTGTGGATTTGGAGGTTCCAAGAGGTACTCCAAGTGCCCATTCTTTCTGAGCCGATTACTTGCTTCGCATGGCATTTATCGATGTCAAGACAATCATAACATATTTGGAGTTTGGAATAAGATGGGAGCCACTGGCATTGCATTCGGTTGTCATGGTTATAGAGTAGTCAGGTGATCGACGCTGGTTTCAAGGCCTAGGCGGTGTCAAGAAGGCCACACTATCAAGCAAGCAGGGAACACGTTTGTCCTTCACTGTTGACCGTTGTTGTGTTGTTGGGTGATGGCCCCAAGGGTCCAAACAAGCTTGACTGTTGTTGCTGAAAACACTCGTTGTCTGGGCAATGGTGTCATGAACGTACAGATTTGGGCGGATGGCGCTTGCTGCCCTGTGCTTTGCAGGAGAAAGCAGGAGGCAATCGCAAATGAGACCACGAATCGATAGACTCGTGTTTCACTTGCTGTACACGTAGAATACGCAGTACCGTTGGAGCCGGCATCCAGATTCATGGCAGCGCTTTCCGCCAGGCAGAAGCTTTTCAGTGTCCCAAGCTTGCAATTGAAACCAGCCTTTAAAGATAGTTTTCTATGCATTGCATTCCTCAACCTGGTGGAACCCTGGCATGACTCATGGAAAGGCACTTGTCCGTCAAGTCGGAAGATATTTGGAAGTCCGGAACCATCCAACTTGGTATTGCGGGCAGTCTCACTTTGAGGGCAGAACAACTGACACCTCCAGCCAGACAGCTCTCGCCGAGCGAGAAAGCTGCAGAGCAGCGCGGTCTCAAAAGCGAGGTGCAGGCATGACTCGCACAGCGGAGGTTTGATTTGGTCCCCTCGAACCCTTCAGGTTGGTGCTAGAGGGCGGCTTCGAGGGCAGCTTGCAGGTCACAAACTTCAGGCAACTTCAGGCCTTGGATTTTGAAAACCATGCTTGGCAGGTTAGCGCCAGAGTTCCATGCCGGGTCGCAGTTCGCAGCTTGCCGCGCGCGCCTCGCGCATTCATTACCATCCGCAGCCACGAGCAGAGCTAGGGGGCCGGCCCCAAGGCGATTTTCAGGCTCGTGGCCCCAGTCCAGGAGGGATTCGCCCTCCCTCCAGTCCTGGTAACTCCCATTTGAAACAAGAGCCATGTGCCAGGGCTTGGTGTGGTTGTTTTGCATATCATTCTTTCGCCAAACCAGCTGTTAAAAATATGTTTCACAGTCATCCCACTGGTGAAGCCAACCAGACTTGTCTTTGACGTTTGATGTCTGACACCCGAGCCTAGCGAACACCTCCAATTAACTTGAGGTGATGGCCGCCATTGCATATTTGAGAGGCACAAATGCTTTGCCTCTGGGCATAGAGGATGCAACCCAAATGTTTTGCGGCTGCCCAGAGCAAAAGCGTTTCCAGAACAAACCTTCACTGCCTCTCGCTGGTTTTACTGAGGTCTAGTTGGTCCAGTGAGGCCTCAGGTGGGGGACGACATTGTTTTGCGACGCGTGCAAGCGACAGAAAGGATTGGTGGTGCACTTTGCACACCAAGGCAGAAATACAGACCTTGCCTCAGGGTCAAGGAAGAATGCTAATGACTCCTCCAGATCTTACCATTTGATGCCCTTTGCCTAACAACACAAGGAGGGTTGGGCCGTTTGCTTTCAGCCGAGTTTCCACAGACCTCGCTGCTGCCATGCCCGATGCCATTTGTTGGCTTCATCGGACCCGTGTGCCGGCGAAGAAACCAATACTGCGGACTGAGAGCAGTCGCGCAGCGCCGCAGCGTCCTGTCTTTTGTGGAGCGAATGGTTAGAAGTAGTACCATCCCTTTGCATAGCTCGTGGTCCCCAAGCCGCATAAGGCAAAGGCCGTTGTTTGGAGCGCCTGTCCGCCATGGGCTGCTCTCAGGGATCTGAAGTGGCTGCTCGAAAGCAAAGATTGAGTGTCTCAGCTGGCTAGCAAAGAAACCTAGCGTGTACAGCATGTACTGGTTCTCTCGAAGTCAGGCGAAAGAACACATCTCCATTTTGCTTTTTGGGTGACTTGTCTGTTTTGGGCGAGCCTTGTTTGAGCGCGAGGGCGGTTGCACGCGAGTGCAGAGGCAGCGCCGCAGCCGGCGGCCGCCCCTACTTCGAGTGGTGCAGTGGCGGGGAGCGAGAGCCTCAAGGGCATAAGGGAAGCATCCAACTTCTTCCTTAAAGGCCTTGTCAGAGGCTTCCTTGGGTCAGCGGCTCCTGAGAGAACCACGACCATCCTTCTAAGGGCCTGAGAGTCTTGCCTCGCCGCTGTGGCTGGCTGAGGCGCAAGCTCCCAAGGCCCAAGCTCACATGTGCCCCGCAAGCCACCACCGCCTGAACGGGACCTGAACAATATCGAGGTGCCTGAAGGACGGAGTGGGAAGGGAGGCCACTGTCGATCGGTGATCATGGCTGACGTCGGCCAAGAATCCCAGGGCCTGGTAGTGTCGTTCTTCAGGCGACTGATCTCGATAAGCATGCATTCATGAGAGTTGCTGCGCTTGGCATAGCTTTCCATGGCATGCAGGCACGCAGGCAACCAGGCGCGCAGGCACGCAGGCACGCAGGCACGCAGGCACGCAGGCACGCAGGCATTGACTGTTTTGTGTTGTACCTATGGCGAATGTGGTAGGTGATGGCCAGCGTGTTTGATCTGATCGCGAATTGTAACAAGATATGCCACTTCGGCCCAAGCAAACAGCCATGTCTGACAAACTCAGATAGCACCGCTTCCGGACTGAACTGTCCGGACCTAGATGTCATGCACCTTCGACCTTCCTGATGTGGCCTTTGTGGCTTTTGCTTGTCCCTTCACCTGCCGTGGGTATCCTTCCGGGGCACGTCTATGGCACTAGTGCCGCCCTTTCCCTGCCCGGGCCTCGCTGGCCTCGCGGTCCTGGCCATTCAGGCGGGCGCCCGTTTCCCAGGCGGCTGCAGCTCCGGCTCCGGCGCCGTGCAAGGAGTGTGAAGGGCGCTCTGGTGGAGACGATGGGTTGGAAAGGGCTTCAGATGAGGCAAGCACAGCAGGCCAGCGGCCTGGTCTTTCTGGGGATGCTTGGGTCACCGTTGCTTTGGTTCTACCTGATGCAGGCAGGCAGTACTACGCTGAGGCTGGGAAACATGGAATCCCAAGTCGGTTCTAAATCCATCAAAAGGTCAACAGAAGTAGCATTTTTTTTAACACAACCTTTGGAGGGCCCGAGCCTGGCAGCTGCTGGGCTCCTCTGGGGCGCTGTTCGGGTCGGTGCTTGTCTTCATGGCACTAAAGAAGCTCTGGAAGCTGCTGGGGCACGGCGAATGGGACTTGTGGTGGAACTTTGGCTTTGGACCGCTCAGGTTCCTGGCACTTTTTCATGGTATGGTCTGGTTGGAACCCGGCCAAGATACCAACTGGCGTGCGGCCTGGCGGTTGTTTTCCGTGGCCTTGGCTGGCTTCGCAGGGGCGGATGCGTGTGCGTCGCTGCTGAAGCAATTTGCGGCCGGCTTGGGGTCGTGGCCGTACCTTCTCGGAGTGCTTGTCGTGGCACTGATGCTGCTGGGCCTTTGCACTTTGCATGCCAGATGCTCTGCCGAAGACCTTGAGCTCAGACTGCGGGATGAGCAGCTTCAGGCGAGTGGCTTCGTGGTGGGGTTCCTGGCATCCACTTGGGCACGCTTCGCGGTGACTGGGTTCCTCCCTGGCAGCAAGGGTCGGGCCCTGACTGTGGTGGACACACACGGGCTGTCAGCCGCAGCAGGTGCTGCGGTGCTGTTGTACTTGGCAGCTCTTCGACTGAGTGGGCAGCTGATGGGTGGCAGGTATCTTCTCCTCTGTTGGGTTGATTTCTCTATTGACTCTACTATGTTGTTGCTTGCTTTTGTGTTCATGGCATGTGGGGAACCAAAGGTTGAACTTTCTGTGGTTTGCGGCAGGTACCTTGACGGTCTGTGGAAGGGCCTGCTGGAGATGCTTGCAATGGTGGCTTCTTGGCTTGTGTTCTACAGCCTGCAGTGGGGGATATGGGAAGCCATGACCGAGCACCACCGGCGCATGTCGCCCGCGGAGCGCTGCTCGGCTTTCGCGCTTCAGGCGCTGTGCTCCCTGGTGGCGGCGGTGGGCGTGTTTGTGGGGTGCCCGGAGCCGGAGCTCGTGCGGGCCGTGGCGGTGCACGTGGGCTTCTCCTGGGAGGCGAAGGGGTCGAGCACAATGGGCTCGACACGAATTTCAATCATTGAAAGTTTCGAAAGATGATGTTTATGATGTTTTGGCATGTTTGGACATTGCTTGAGCTCTTCCAAGAGCCACCAGCCCACAAGTTTTGACCAACATTTCGAACAGGTGCTGATCTATGCGTGCAGCGTCGAAGCGCTCACACCGGCGGCTAACATGACGGCCGTGCTTCGGCATGCCCAGGGCCTCGGCACAACGCTTATGCTTCTCGGCACCTTTTTGCCCGCCTGGTACTTGTTCATCCTACCCAACACCAGGTCACCGGAGGCGAAGGACAGAGGGTTGCAGCCCATGGCGCAACGCGAGGCCGCTCCGCCCCAAGCGGATGAGGGGCTGGAGGCCTTGGACGTGCCAGCGCAGGACTCCGACGCGACGGTAACTGCCGAAAAGCTGGCAGAGGATACGGATGGGCCCGATTGGCATGACGATGGTGACATGGACCTCCAAGAGGCGAGTCCACAGCCACACGCGTCACAGCCGCAGCCACGTGAGGACTCGGCGGCTTTGTTGCGAGGCGCGAGCAGCGCCTCGGTGGGTCGCCCCAACCGCCGCTTCGTGGCAGTCGACAGCTCCAGCTCCCGGGACTCGCTGCCATCGCTGCCGGCCACGCCGCCTCCAGGCTCACCTAGAGACACAAGCGGCGCAGGCGGCGCTGGTGCAGGCGGTGCAGGGGGTGCTGGCGGTGCTGGCGCAGGCGCTGGGGCAGGAGGCAAGCGCCAAGTGTTGTACCAGCGCGACGAGTGAGTAATAGACCAGGTGACCGGGTTGCGCAATATGCGCCTTGGGACGAACGGTCAGGCTTGCAAGGAGAAAATATGGTTGTGGCAAGGGTGGTTGCTTTGAACTGCTGCTTTGGTGCACCCCAGTCGTCCAACACTCCACCGCCCGCTTCCTCTTTGCAGGATTCATCCATCCTCGCGATTTGCCCCGCTTCGAGCCCTTTGCCGAAGAGCAACCTGACTGGGAGCCCGGCTCCCAGACTGTGAAGGTTGTGACCGATTTGATTGACGTGCAACTTGGGCAGTTTGCAGTTCAAATGAGCGGCTTAGGTGGGAGAAAGAGGAGGGCCAGTGGCGAAGCTATCCGCTGCAAGAGTCTATCGAGCTGGACAGGTACTGGAAGGTCTTTCAGAAAGACCAGGCGCGCTTTTGGGGCGCATTCTCCTGGCAAACCCAACTCCATTTTATTGGCGGCGCCTCCCCCTCGCAAAGTACAATCTTGTTTTTTGTTTGGACGGCAGAAACCCTGGTTCAAGGTCTTTGTGCCCTCAGTTTGCGTATCGAATCATCCCATGCTGTGGACAACTGGGGCCCGGGGTACTGTAAAAGCTGAGGCTGGTTGACAGTAATGTAAGGCAGCTGGCACACGTTCATCACAAAACTTGCATCCTCGATCATTCACGGTTGCCTTATTTGGCACGCTGCCACCCTAATGGCATCAAGAAGCGCACGCGGCGAACCTTTTTTGCACCAAGCGCTTGTTCCACCGATTTCATGGTGATTGTTATTGCTGCCAAACTTAAGCATGAGCGCTGCACAAGCAAGACTGCTCTTGAACGCAGCCTCCTGTGCAGGATGCGGCCAGTAAAGCCAAGCTGTCGTTGCTGAAGAACTCAGTCGCCGCTGCATTCGCACCAAGTGAGCCAGGATGATTTTTCTTCCCCAACCGAAACGGGACTCCAAGGGAAGCAAAGGTAGACCTACGATTTGTGGAAGTCTTAAGTTTAGGAGGCACCCCATGTTTGTGTCAAATCAGGGATAAGTTTTCTAGCCACACCATATTTATAGCGCTGTCACACCAAACACCATCAAACGTTCCTGAAAGGGAAGAACTGCTCTGCGCAAAGCGACCCCACCTAGCCACGTGACGAGGTTGTGGACTTTGTGGAGATGACAGCTCAGGCAATGGCAATATTTGCCGATGTTTGCAGACGTGATCGCTTGCCAATTATATGCCTGGCAGTGGCAGCAGATGGCACAATTCGTTAATTTCTTTTTCATCATGCTATTTGCTCACAAAGTCAGAGGTATCTGCTTTCGGCCTTTTACCTTTGTGCAATCGTAATGCAGCAAATTTTGATTTGAGTTGGCGTGACTGGCCTGAGACAGCTACGATAAACTCATCCGACTTCATAAGACATGATTCCGTTATGCCATGATTGCTCTGGCTGCCCTTCATTGCTCGAGTATGGATGGCAACAAGAAGTTCGCTCCCCCTGAACTATGAAAGCTTCAACGCATTACAATAATATTTGTTGCTTCCGCAAGTTGTCTACTGTATCGTGTCAGTAGGGTTGGGTTGAGATCCTGGAGATTTCAGCTGTGATTGACCACATCTGTATATATATATATATCTATTATATATATAAATAAGTATATGTATACACATATGTGCAGTTGGTGTTTATGGCTTGCCTGTTTGAGTGCATGGGTGTTTGTTTGCCTGTTCGTGTGCTTGCGCGTTTCATTGTTTGCTTGCTTGTGCTTGCTTGTGCTTGCTTGTGCTTGCTTGTGCTTGCTTGTGCTTGCTTGTGCTTGCTTGTGCTTGCTTGTGCTTGCTTGTGCTTGCTTGTGCTTGCTTGTGCTTGCTTGTGCTTGCTTGTGCTTGCTTGTGCTTGCTTTGCTTGTGCTTGCTTGCTGCTTGCTTGTGCTTGCTTGCTTGCTTGCTTGTGCTTGCTTGTGCTTGCTTGTGCTTGCTTGTGCTTGCTTGTGCTTGCTTGTGCTTGCTTGTGCTTGCTTGTGCTTGCTTGTGCTTGCTTGTGCTTGCTTGTGCTTGCTTGTGCTTGCTTGTGCTTGCTTGCTTGCTGCTTGCTTTGCTTGCTTTGCTTGCTTTGCTTGCTTGCTTGCTTGCTTGCTTGCTTGCTTGCTTGCTTGCTTGCTTGCTTGCTTGCTTGCTTGCTTGCTTGCTTGCTTGCTTGCTTGCTTGCTTGCTTGCTTGCTTGCTTGCTTGCTTGCTTGCTTGCTTGCTTGCTTGCTTGCTTGCTTGCTTGCTTGCTTGCTTGCTTGCTTGCTTGCTTGCTTGCTTGCTTGCTTGCTTGCTTGCTTGCTTGCTTGCTTGCTTGCTTGCTTGCTTGCTTGCTTGCTTGCTTGCTTGCTTGCTTGCTTGCTTGCTTGCTTGCTTGCTTGCTTGCTTGCTTGCTTGCTTGCTTGCCCTTGCTTGCTTGCTTGCTTGCTTGCTTGCTTGCTTGCTTGCTTGCTTGCTTGCTTGCTTGCTTGCTTGCTTGCTTGCTTGCTTGCTTGCTTGCTTGCTTGCTTGCTTGCTTGCTTGCTTGCTTGCTTGCTTGCTTGCTTGCTTGCTTGCTTGCTTGCTTGCTTGCTTGCTTGCTTGCTTGCTTGCTTGCTTGCTTGCTTGCTTGCTTGCTTGCTTGCTTGCTTGCTTGCTTGCTTGCTTGCTTGCTTGCTTGCTTGCTTGCTTGCTTGCTTGCTTGCTTGCTTGCTTGCTTGCTTGCTTGCTTGCTTGCTTGCTTGCTTGCTTGCTTGCTTGCTTGCTTGCTTGCTTGCTTGCTTGCTTGCTTGCTTGCTTGCTTGCTTGCTTGCTTGCTTGCTTGCTTGCTTGCTTGCTTGCTTGCTTGCTTGCTTGCTTGCTTGCTTGCTTGCTTGCTTGCTTGCTTGCTTGCTTGCTTGCTTGCTTGCTTGCTTGCTTGCTTGCTTGCTTGCTTGCTTGCTTGCTTGCTTGCTTGCTTGCTTGCTTGCTTGCTTGCTTGCTTGCTTGCTTGCTTGCTTGCTTGCTTGCTTGCTTGCTTGCTTGCTTGCTTGCTTGCTTGCTTGCTTGACTTGCTTGCTTGCTTGCTTGCTTGCTTGCTTGCTTGCTTGCTTGCTTGCTTGCTTGCTTGCTTGCTTGCTTGCTTGCTTGCTTGCTTGCTTGCTTGCTTGCTTGCTTGCTTGCTTGCTTGCTTGCTTGCTTGCTTGCTTGCTTGCTTGCTTGCTTGCTTGCTTGCTTGCTTGCTTGCTTGCTTGCTTGCTTGCTTGCTTGCTTGCTTGCTTGCTTGCTTGCTTGCTTGCTTGCTTGCTTGCTTGCTTGCTTGCTTGCTTGCTTGCTTGCTTGCTTGCTTGCTTGCTTGCTTGCTTGCTTGCTTGCTTGCTTGCTTGCTTGCTTGCTTGCTTGCTTGCTTGCTTGCTTGCTTGCTTGCTTGCTTGCTTGCTTGCTTGCTTGCTTGCTTGCTTGCTTGCTTGCTTGCTTGCTTGCTTGCTTGCTTGCTTGCTTGCTTGCTTGCTTGCTGCTTGCTTGTCTGCTTGCTTGTCTGCTTGCTTGTCTGCTTGCTTGTCTGCTTGCTTGTCTGCTTGCTGGTTTGTGCTTGCTTGCTTGCATGCTTGCTTGCATGCTTGCTTGCCTCGCTTCGCTTCGCTTCGCTTCGCTTCGCTTCGCTTCGCTTTGCTTTGCGTTGCGTTGCGTTGCGTTGCGTTGATTTGCTTGTTTGCAATCCACGAGGTGACCAGATCGCATGCTCGAGTTGCTGGTTGCTGAATGTGGTTTGATGCAGGAACACACATGTGGCTATCGCTGAGACTAGCTGGAACTTAGTCTTCGTTTCTGACCATTGTCTTGTGTACATTCATTTTGCTTGGGTAAGCACACACTGTACCTTGAATGGCTCATTTCAATCGAACCAGACACTCTTTTGGAATGAGGGTGGACTCATGGGTTTGCTAAGACGCCTGCAGGCTGGCGACAGGCAACCAAGGAAGATCCGGAGGCTGGTGATTTTATCACTGATGAGTGAAACACTGTGAGCCAACCGCACCTCTGGCATCCTGTTTTGGGTGGCCTTTTTCGTGGAGATCCTTCACTTTGCTTGGGTGCATCTCCAGACTCCAGAGAATAGATGCGACTCTCTACTGGGTTTCCAATCACCAAGTTTTTCAGTCGCTCGTTTTTGTGGTTGGACTTGCTGGCTCGACTGTGCCAAGAGGCCGCGTAACTTGTATCATCAAGCAGACAACGCACAGTTCAGTGAGGTTCTGAGAATTCTGACCCAAGATCTCTTCAAAAGAGTTTTCCTAGTTGGTGGGAGGGTAGCTATTTGGCTTGTTGATTCCGGTTTTTCATCGGCGGGCTTTTCCTTGAAGCTGACCTTTCCACTCCAACCCCGGCTGGGGAACTTTGACTTGAACACTTGCTCGGCTTTACTTCGCCACAGGTGATGCGAGTGATGATTTTGGAGCGAATGTCAACTCTGTGGGCCTGTGTGTGCGCGTTTTCCGGGGAGACGCAGGAAACTGACGCAGTCCGACTGGCTCAGCAATCGCTTCTTCTTTGACGCGCCGCTTGCTCAGATATACTTGATCGCTCGATGCTTGTAGTGGGGGATCAGTTGTGCTATTTTGCCCCGTGTACCTGCGATGCAATTGATGGCGGTGTATTCAAAGTATTGTTGACTCCGTTTGTCGACCTGGCAGATTCGAGGAGTTTCCCGGAAAAGTGAAGGTTCTCCTTAGGGAACAAATAGACCCAAGCTTCAGTTTGCGGCCTTGCGGTTCGTGAGCAATGCTGAGGTTTTCGGAAACGCTGCAGAAGGTGGGCCTTGTGATGATTTTAGGTAGCCCGCCAGCGAGGGTCAAGGGATGCAGCTGCAGGAGCTTATATGTATGTATCTCTTAATGCGTTTCTAGTCGAAATAGCCAAATAGCGAATAGTATGCTGGCGGCAATCATGTGTGCATTGGGTAAGACCAGCTCTCCATACGATTTCGTCATTTGAGGTAGGATAGCGCAAACATATTGAAGAGGTCTCATGTTCTTTTGCCACACAAAGGGGTGTGGCAGTGGTTTACGTGTGACTCGGCGTAGAAAACACAATGCAAGACAAACTGACGTGAAGAGCGGGGACGTAAGCATCAATTTCACCTGACTTTTTAGTACCTATGTCAATGGTGTTATTACCGGGAGAGGGAATCTTGATTATACCACAACTATCCTCTTCTTTACGCACGGAGCTCTTCAACTTGTCCGGAGGCATTGCAGACATGAGTTGCCAGATCCACCGGAGTGAACCGCACACTTGTTTTTTGCTCTGAGTGTATCAGAAGACCTGAGAGTGTGACGAGTGCTGTTGAACATGGGATTGAGACCTTTTGCATTCTTTGGCATGGCGCACAGAGCCCCGAGCAGACATTGCAGGCGGGCATCACAGTTGAAACAGAGCCTGAGCAGATGTTCGACTTCCGCTTCGTGCAGGACCTTTCACATAGCATTTGAGCAAGATCCGCTAGCCGATGGGAACATACTGGTTTCTGGGGAATGTGGGACTACCCCCCCTATGACTCGCCGCCAAGCTTTGCTTGCATATTATAGGTAATCCTGAGCAATGGTTGGAAGATGAAACGCGGCATAGACTGGGAAGATCGGTTCCTGCTTGCAGCCTGCAGTAGCATGTATGTTTGGCAGGACTTCCGGCAAACCAAGGATGACGGGCGGAAGATGTTCCGGGGTATCTCGGCTGGCACTTTCCCCGGGGGAGGTGCACTTTGCTGCTCCGGCGAGTTGAGAGCCGGATATTCCTGCCTGTGTTCGTTAGAGGTATTTTGTCCACACGGCTAGTAAACAGTGCAGGATCTGTGCTACATGATTCGGCGGATAAACTGACACACATCGTTTTCGTGGGGCTTCAACAGGAAGCTGATGCTGATCGGCTCCCCGTTTAAACATCCATTCGGTTGTAGAGGATTCTCTTGCAGGGATAGGTCAACTCTTAGGGGGAGTACTTGTTCCGTGCTCTGTCAGCTTACACCCCACCGCCGATTGGAACCGGAGAGACGAATTGCACGTGAAAGATCCATCACGAAGCCACGGGCCACCTCACGAAGATCTCGCTTCCCGACTGCCTGCTCCCACTTCCAGCTTTTCATCCTTTTTGGGGAGAAGGCCCGGGACCCTGGGCCGAAGGGTCGAAGCGTTGCCGCTTGCCGCTTCCGAGGCGGCAAAGAGTATCACCTGCCTGTGGGCTGGAAGCGCTTTGCCGTGCAGGTGAAGGGCGTCTACGACGACGGCCGGGGAGCCCGTCACTTGCAGCTTGGCAGTTGCCAGCGCCCAACTTGGACGTAGAGAGAATCCTGATCAATCAACTCTATTGCCAAGAGATTCGGACCACCATTCAACAACGTCACTTCTCTGATCAACCATGAGTTTATGAATTTGAGCTTTCCGTTTGAAGGAGGAAGAAATCCAACAGGATCCCACAAAGTGCCTTAACTGGCGTGAAACTTCCGAAGAACCCGTCAGTCAGCGAGCTCGGCGGGCCGAAACAGGGATCACGAAAGAGATTTGGGGGCCACATCATCGGCTCTGGGCTGGCCAAGTTCCAGAGGCAGTTTCAAAGTCGATACGCCTCCAGTGGAGCCGCGATTTTGTTGGAACTCGTGCAAGCTTGTTTTTAAACCCTACGCTCGGCTTGGTTTACCAGGTGGAGCAAAACAATCAAGTGAACTCGCGCTCAGTGTAGGCAAAGCTCCAAGTTGTTGCTTAAATCGCAAGAAGTGAATAATCATTTTGCTTGACTGCATTGTAAGAACAGTAGCGAAGAACAGAAGGAGGCAAATGGGAGCTTTTACTAGCTCCTTCTATGACTGTCTGTATTTGGCCGTGGCCAATACCTTGCAAGTGCAGACCCTTGTCTTGCTAGAATAGGGGTTTCTCAGTTAAAGACCATTATACCACAAGCAAGGGCTTACATCAGAGGCTCATGCAGCTGTTCATACATTGAGACCCTTCAAGACTTGTATAAAGCCGCACCGGTCAAAGTGGCAGTAGCATGGTGTCTACTTCAGGTGACAATGGCTGGCTGCGCGAAGACGAGAGTGGTTGGGCCGTCGCGTACCACGGTACTTCCAAAGAAGGAGAGCTGTGGCTTCGCGGAAGCGCCGTTTGCCTGTTCTTAACCTTGAGACCAGCCACATGTACTTGACTGAAATTCCCACTGGGACAGCAGTCACGCGTTTGTGAGTGATCCTGTGCCAGCTACACTGAAATCTTTGCAAATACTCAATCCATTATCCCGCACGAAGAATAAGCCGATTGTCCAAGGGAGAACCGCCTGGTAATGACTGCTTTTCTGGGATCAACCGCCAGCGTCAGCCACTAGGACTGGGTGGTATCCTCTGCACAGGCCAGCCCATCGGAGGAGTCAGCCTTGAATTGTTTTCTTTGAAATTTCAGATACCGGCAAAACCGTTCTTATTGCCAAATAGCTGCCACATGGCTGCCAACCAGGGGCAACCCAATTCAATGGCTCACACTTTGGTGCGCAAGCAACGATCCACAAAGCTAATCCGAGTTGATGTGTTTGCTGAAGGGGGAGGATGCATGTTGATCAACGCCTGCATGGGGCTTGTCCGTTCAATGCCGACCCACCTTTACTGTAGTTTTTGCCCTCTCTCAATGTGTGCTATTTTACTTCTTGTATTGCTTGTTGGTGGGAGAGAAGTTGTCAATTGACACCTGTTCTTGCCACGGGGCCATCCTCAGATATCCGACAGCTGGCGGAGTTGTCATTTGAAACTTGTCAGGTTTCCGCGTGGGTGACCGCCAGAAGTTCGCCAAAGAAGCGGGCCGTTGTCTGAGAAGTGCTTTGTGCGATGCCGGCGGCTTCAAAACGGCCTTGGGACATGTCTCGAAAGGGCGGCAATATGCTTGGGAGCTCGGCGGGAGATCTGTTGGACACTCATTTTCTCGGCGTCAAGTACAAATGCACGAAGTTTGCTTTTTCGTCCTATACGTTCTAGCAGTTCTAGCATGGCGCTGTTTGCTGTGCTTTGTTTATAGCAGGTGGAGATGCAGCTCTGTGTCCCAAAGGCAGCTTTGTCTCTCTGGGCTGAGGTGCTGGCGTGTACTGCACCCCAACCATTCAGGTGCCGAGACGAGAACGGTCAGCGCACGCCCAGGGTCTCATGAACCAAAAAGGTGGATTGATTCGGCCCGCTTTGCGACAAGGACTGTTCAGGGACTGTTGGCACGCCTCCCTGGTTCTCGTGGAAGGGTGCTGGCAGAACGCAGATGTTTCTTTCCCGTGGTTCCAGCGGTTTCAGTCGAGTGAGCTGCTCCAATGCTGGCAATCGCTTGATGGGAAACACAGGAAGGGCTTATTCGCGGGGTTCTCGACGCCAGGGGAGCCACAATCAAAACATGCTTTCTTTGCTAGTAAGAGATAATCCCAACCATGAATGGGTGCAGCCGCCTTGTTCATTCTTTATATTGGTTCTGGGTAGACCATGTTAATACCAGGTTTACTATGACTCAGGTTCCGTTTCTAGCCTTTTTCTAAACACGACAAAACACAATCAATTTGTAGGTCCTGCGTTGGACAAGTCTGCTTCCGACCAGCAGACTAAACTAAGCAAAATGTTTATGTCATCATCAACTGGCAGACCCCCAAGCAATGTTTGAGCTTCTGTGTGTTTTTTCAGTGCAGCGGGCATACAAGATGCTGGGGGGGGGGAATTGCGTTTGTATTCTGGGGTCTCTCCATTAGTGTCATTCCTGTCCCCTATGCTTGCAACTTGGGAATTGCCACCCATGCCGGGCGTGAGTCTGGCACAGGTGGCACAGCACTACTCCAAGCCGACACTGCTGCGAGGAGTGGAAGCGTGTGGAACGTGTGAAGGATGTGCCCTCCAAGAGCTTTGACAAAAGAGGCTCCAGGTCCTCACGGACTCCTCACCTCGTTGTGCCAATCGAAATTGAAAGGTCCATGGCTCCTTGGGCCAGGAAGGATGGCCGTCCTTTCTTGGTGTGGAATTTAGGCAAAGGGGACCCTGAACATTCTCAAGGGGCTTTGACCAGGATAGCTGGTACGTAAACCATGTACAACGGGATCCTCAGGCGATCACACGTGGCCATGTGAGAAAGACTTGATTTCTGAAACTGCAACAAGTTGCCTGTGGGAAAACAATCCATGCAGGTGACTTGGCAAGATTACCACTAGTTGCAGTATGTTGGAGTCAACTGATTGCAGCATCCTGATCCCAACTCCATTCAGCATAGTGCGTGCTTCGTGCACCGCGGAACCAGCTCAGGAACAGTTATTTGCGATGACCCAGCAGGTCTCTTCAAAGGGCATTGGGATCGGAATGAATTTTTATCCTCTGATGTCCTGAAGTTGTCTAGAGAACCAGAACTCGCCGCAACTGCGAAGCATGCATGGCAGCCCAAATAGCAAACACCTTGGTGCACATCAAGTGACCACTTGTGCATTGTCAAAGATCCTGATTGTCGGGGTCACCGGGGATTGTCCTCAATCCTTCAGAGTTCTAGATACTGCAAGCAAGTTTTCCTTTGAATTGGAATGTTGTAGAGTTTGAGGATAGCTCCCTTAGTTGTTGGCTGC